AAAATGCTTCTCATGGAACCCTTCAAAGCTACCAATTCGGAAATTCCGAAGTCACGCCCTACCAGGTCCACAAGGGAACCAATAGAGGTGACCGCCAGCATTATCCTGATCCGGGATCAACTTTCGAAAAGAGATTCAAACATCACGCCACTCCTTGCGTCTTTGTCTCAGCAATGTACGTGACGGCCAGGTCGTTGTCGGCCACCCCCACATCACTCAACTTTTGAACGTGATGGCATTTTCAAAACTCCGAGGTTCTGTCCGACGTACATCAGACTAGCTAGTATGACAAGGTGGGTTCAGTATTTTGAGAGGAAGGTGTAGGGGATGAAAGTCATGTTGAATATGATGTCCTTTGGTTTTCACATGCGTTTCTCTTGCATTCCACCTCCTCCAGCGTGTAGTTGTCCAGTAACAAAACTCGTCCAAAAGACAATTTTAAATGAGATCACGAATACAGATTCAACAGCCACTTCCTTCAATGGCGAATGAGGAAGGCAAAAGTCAACCGCATTCGTCTCTGTGTGATGAAAGAACTGAAAAACATCCCTTGTTCCCGCTTTACATGGTTGGAAAACATCACCCACATAGCTCGTAAATGCTCCCTATCGATACAAAGCTGAAACAATTTCTTCGCAATACATTGCTAGTGTTCCATGACGCTCAAATAGCAGAAAAGACAAAAGGGGTATCTTGAAATGCAGTCTGACCAGCCCAAATACATAGTCTTGAAGTTCATGCTCGCGGCAGATCCTCCCTGCCCACAAAGGAGGCGGGCATACTGTCAACGCCTCGCCTTACAGAAGAGAACAGGGGCCTTTTTGAAACTCGCTGGTCCGTAAATGCCCCATCGTTTGTAGTGATCCCAGGGGAGCTACGTCGACCCGAGAGCCATGATACACCACCGCGGCGGCGTCCAGTCCGGGAATAAGTCGCAAACGGTCTTCATCGCCGCCTCCATTTGCCTCGCCATCTGCTGCTCGAGCACGCCGTTCGGATTCGCAGTCACCAGCTCGACTTCGTCGTTGTAGACGGGGTTTTCGTCCCGCGGCACAAAGACGAGCTCTTCCAGCTTCGGCATTCGCGCGCGGATCTGCTTGAGGACCTCCACCGTCAGGTTGGCGGCGCTCATGGACTGGTACATTGTGTCGACCCAGAAGAGCGAGTCGTTGATGGCGAGGCGGCGCACTTGTGAGATGTCTACGGGGTCGCATAGGGCCATGACGGTGCGGAACTGCGCCTCGGAGGCCATGTAGCCGTCGCGGGCGCCAAAATAGAGGACGTCGTGGGCCTTGTCGAAGAAAATTTGGCCCGGGTTGCGCGTCATGCCGAAGCTGAGATGGTACGACTTGAGGGCCTCGGAACGGGATTCATGGCAGGCGTGGAGGTTGGTGGGTACGGCTGTGTACGACGTACACCCGCTCGACGAGGGCCTTGGTGACTGGGCGTGGGAGGCGAAAGAGAGAGACTTGGCGCCGCACCGGATGGGCACAACCCGCGGTGGTGGGAGGTTGAAGTTCCAGATTTTGAGGCGGAGTTCTACGGGCAGCCTTGGGAAGAGATGCTGTGATGGCTTCGGTCAACGGGGCTGTGCGCGGCTATGGGCTATACGGGAGATCGACAGATCTAAAACGTACAAATTGGGTTAAGGACTGAGGTAGTATCGCTTGCGCGGGGCAGCCGGTTGTTCGCGTTCTTGGAGCGGAGGTTATCGTGATGGTTGACATGATCTGTATAAACCGAGGGCTGGCGCGAGACTAGGAGAATGGTTTCGCGACGTTGACGTCCCGCAATATGGGAATGGATGCCCAGAAACGAACGGATGTGTTTGTTAGGCCAGTGCGGGACACGACGACAGGTTGTTGGAGGGGTGGCAAGCGTGAGTGGTTATTATATCGGCCGCGACGCCGCGGGTACCAGCGCTGTCCCGGGCAAACGATACAAAGGATAAAGGATATGCCTGCCAGGCTGCGTCCCACAAGGTCCAAGGCGACCCGAGACATCATTAGACTTCTTTGACAAATACCCAGCCCCGGTTCTCCTCACAACCAAAACACTGGGGTAGGAGAGAAAGCGATGTGCATACCATCTTTTTCGTGATTCATGACCGCTTGACGAACACCCCCCCCCAGACTGCATATGTGTGCCAGGGAAGAAAGTGTGGCGGCCCAGAACCCGAGGCTTTGGGTCGGGGCGACCAGGGGTGTTCACGCTGCTCGCAGGATTCTGACGGTCATTTCTCCCTTTCCAGTTAGAGTGTTCCCGGTGACAGAGTGCTCCGTAGTGTAGTCAGTTGTCAAAGTGGTCGGGAAGTTCGAGGGCGGGGTGCCGATCCAAGGGATGGTCAACATCCGTCTGCAAGACAGAACGCAGAGATGTCGGCACTGAGCCATGGCCTCAGGACTCTCGTAATCATACTGACATTCTGCCGTATTCGAGCCAATGACGTTTGATATACCCCTGAAGATGGAATATTCGTTAATCTCAATGTGAGAGAAGAGTGTGAGAGGTTCTCTGCAATGCGGGTGAAATGTAGAAGCCTGGGGAGGAGTCTCGAATTCGGGCCAGGAGGTGCAGATCTGCGGGAGCGCTGCTGGGAAAGCCAAAGCGGTGCGAATTGTGATGGGCCGGACCCATCAGGCACATGTGAATATGTTGCGGATGGACATGGAGGGCTTGCTGGGCCTGGCTAGCACCTTTGTGGGCAGTCAGGATCCCCGTCCACTACTACCTGCTTTCCTGAAGTTTGTGTGCCTGTTTGGTTCTCCCGGAAGTCGAAAGAAAGGAATTCGACCGGCCCGGCCGTAAGCTGGTCTGTAGATCATCAGAATGCAGTGACGGGTGATGAGCGCCTGGTTGGTTCCAGTCAGTTGGGCTGAGCCAGGGGTCAGGGGCCTGGACAGGGGATGTCTCGGTGGCCGCTGCAGTCTGCTTATGCTGGAGTCTGTGTGTCTGTGTGTTGAACCAGGGCCTTTCTGATGAACCATTGAATTTGAGTGGTTCTCAAGCGTCGTATCCCTCGCTTGGCTGTAGACAATTTCAGCTGAAGCGGAGTACGTAGTCCCGTCCTGGTCCGGATTTTTAAAGTTGCTGTATTGGACGACGTTCAGAGAAACCCTGCTGCAAGGAGGACAAGGCCGCCTGTCAAAACCCAATGATACTCTGGGATTCGCACAAAGAGGCAGAAAGAATGTCGTGTCTGCCATGCAGAACATGGATCAGCAACTGACTGACCGGCTGCAATGCATCTTGATGGTGCAACAGGAGTCAACCCGAGCATCTGGGACACCCAAACCCAGAGGGATGGACTTGGGAGCCGTGCCGCAGTGAATCCCCGTGGCGCCACGGTGAGACTTGAGTCGGCGATTCGACCTGTCACTTCGTAGCCGACTTGATGGGCGAACCGTCACCCCACAGTCTCTGGCTGCCGAACTCCGAGCCCTGGGCCAATACTTGCAGTAGCCAGCTGAGTAGCCGTAGTGTTGTTGTTGGCACTCTTGAGACCTTTGGCTTTCGCTAATGTACTGACGATGGCTTGCTCGACATTCCACACCCGGTGGACGTTGAGGGCCAAGCACCTAAACTCTCGCTTCCCGCCGATGTGCAATCACGTCTGCCATGTTCGTCGTTCGCCAACTGAAGATTGGTTCGCTAGTCTGTCCAAACTGTTCTAACACCCTGGACGAGCTGGGGCATCAGCTAGGTTCGGCCGCTGGCCCGCTACTTTGTCCGTTAATGGCCCGCCGGCTAGTGCAGACAATTGTTGACATGCGGAGCAGTCGGCCCTACCCGGCGAACGCCAATGTCTCTTGCAGTGGAGGCCAAGAACTAGGCCGGACTGGGCCCAGAGATATGGTCGTCCTACCTGTGAAAGACCTTGGGACGAGGCTGGAGCCGCAAAGAGCTTCGTGTGCCGGCGGCAGACCGACGAGGAGTTCGGATCAATGCTCTCTAACATCATACAATGGCCGCTATCCGTGTCTAGGGGCCGCTGTAGGTAGTCGTCAATTCTAGTCCGACAGGCCGGCTTATTGAAGGCCGCAGAGTTTTGACAGCCCCAACATCAGTTTGATCACCGCAGCCGGCTGCAGGGTTGGTACAGCCTCACCTGCAAGCCTGCTATCCTTCTTATTGTATGTACGGATACAATTGCTTGCTTAGCTCACCCTTTCGTGGAGGGGTCTGATACCCTGTCGTCCAGACGGTGATGTGGAATCATTGCCATCGCTCTCGGAAGGTGGAAACGCCATTGGCTGAGCAGTGTGCTGCATGTCGCAGCTCAGAGATGAGACACACTCGTGGTCATGGAGAGTTCATCGCAATCCAGCCTTCAGGAACGAACATGTCGGACAACGTCGCAGTGACCCTCAGTTGTCTCGTCCAATCTCCGTGCCCGTACTACGCAACCTTGTAGTTCCGTGTCCGTATGTGTCGTCAGGCCTCAAAGAAGAGAGACCACAGCAGGCTTCATAATACCTATGACGCTCATGTTGGGCAGCTTTTCGTAAAAATCCAGCTTGCGAAGCTGTATATTGGTTTTGCAGATACGAAGGAGCGCATTTCTTTTTCGTCGGCGTTGGCGTGGGATGGAGTGGGTGGTAATAAGCCATACGACCATTTTGGAGATGAACAAGTTCAACTTGGCTCGCCAGCTGGTGGCATAGCTCACCAGTTGTTAGCAGAAGAGGTGAGAAATATATCACGTGATAGATCCACTTCCCCCACGGCACTTCCCGCTCATGCGGGTGAAAAACAAAAGAAGCTTACCTAAGGTAAGTCGCCTGGCCTGGTTCAAGGATGCCAGGATTGCTTTTCATCTCCACTCTTCCCGCTTGACGTGAGCTTAATTCTCGGATTCCTTTTGACGGCGGCGGCAAATAAGGACTTCCAACATCAAATTCTCATTCTATTATCGCTGACTTGCAGCAACCTCGATTGTGGTCACATCCCGGTCAGCGAATAAGGGTTCTTGTTTCGATTTTCAAAACGAGGTTATCTGCACCTCATCATTGGCCTCCTCCATGGCCCGCCCGCCATTTTAAGCGCTGGGGATGGCCGCCAATGGGACCGGCATCTGCGGGCTTCTGACCAATGTGAAGCTCGCTGGCTGATCAGGGGTGCCCGATGATCTCCTCTCTCGGAGCCCCGAGATGTCGCAAGCGCGGCTATCTTGCATCGGCGCAACGCTCGCCACGATAATTTTGGACATTAGCTTTCTTCCCCATGTGTTTTCAAGATTATGTGCCGTGTCTAGACACGGCACACGGCGCGTAGCCAGGCTGTAGAGAGGTTGTATATGTACGCTTCATGATCGCACTTTCGTAGGTCTGTGATACAGGAAAACCACACAACTCCCTGGCTGCCATCCCGCTTTCTCTTTTCTTACGTGTTTTCTTTCCTGGAGATCGTTTCTTACATTACGTCTGGTCATTCTTCACTTGTAATTACACCTCATTTTACGACAATATTCCACGACTTTCCCTACAGCCATGTCTTCCGATCTCAAGAACGTCACGCAAACCTCGGACTTCGAGGTCGATTCTGATGACGCTCACTACCCTTCACACACACGTCTTCTCAAGACAGTCGATACTGCAAGAGTCAGCTTGACGGCTGTGGCCCTTCTTGTGAGCATCACCATCCTTGGTACATCAGCAGATGCCCTGGCTGTCTACGATGCCACCTCCGTACCAGCCGGCTTCATGCTTCCGCTGTGGCCGGACGCCTTCGACTTGCGTCCAACAGTCGCGCTCGTGGTTGGGAGCTCTCTTCTCATAATTGTCAATCTCGTGTCTCTCCTTTTCAGTCAAGTTCAAAGTGTAAGTCAGATCAGTTTTTTAACATCGTACCTCTGACGAGTAAGCTCAGACTGACATCAAAAAGCTGCGTGGTCAAACTCTCATCCACAACTCATTGGCAGTAGCCGCCCCGTCGGTTGGGCTGGTGGCATCGATCATTGCCATGTCCTTCTTCTACAGCATCAACGCGTCGATCACGGTCGACACACTACAGAGCTGGAGCTGTCGCTGGTCCGATGTTGTGATGATGACGAGGCCGCATTTCGGCACTCTATGCAAGCAAAGCAAGGCGGGCCTCTACCTGTCCATCCTGCTGATCCCGATCGAGGCCATCATCGTGGGAATGGGCGGCTATCAGATGATGCTGGAACGGACCATTAGCAAGACCAATAGAGTGGTACTGGAGCAGCGCAAGTCTGGCAGCCCGGTGCCTTCATCAGTCCGCGACGTCGAGGGCGATCAACACTGAGAAGAGCGGCTGGATGTTCGTTCAAAAGACCTAGGTTAACGGTCGTCGTCTGCTATGTATCCGCGAGTTGGGTTAAGGGAACAAAGAGGGAGCCGGAAACGGAAGTTTCCCAATCTTGTAATCAGGCGTTAAGGATGTGTAGTATTAGCAGAGGTGGGAGCCAACTACGTCACGTATTAACGTAGGTATCCAATTATTCAGTGTTTTCTTGGGGAATTCGTGTCGCTCACCTGCAGAAGTGAATGGTCCTTTTCGACTTGCCGGTATCGATTTAGGATTTGATCCGATTTTCATCCTTTTAGCAGCTATGCTCCTCGATCGAAGGCTGCATGCGGCATTCGCCGAGGTCTCGCAGCTTGAAGCTTGCAGCCACCAGGGGATCTACGAGCCGCCACTCGAGTATCCGCTGACGCAGGTGTATCCTCAACGCGAATCTAAGTTGGTGAAACCTGAGAAGTTCCCCGATTATGACCGTTTGCGGACGAAGTGCTACTGCACTGGAGTGGATAAGGGTCGATGGAGCTGGCCGCCCCGGCTCCGGCACGGTATGCTTAGCCGCCCCTCTGAGGATATCGGCATCTATATTTTTTTCTTCTTTTTTGTTTTGTTTTGCTACCTTATTTATCAATATAATCTTCGAGTCTAGGCAAAACAGCAAGCGAGGGCTTGGGCCTTAGGCGACGAGTTTCAAGCTTACGCTCTTGTCAGCATAAGAGTCAAGTTGAAGTCTAGCTCAGACAGCGTGAACCCCTTGATAAACTACTGTAAGTCTCTTGGGTACTGGATAGCACTCTTCTATCTATCTTGGAGACAGCTTGTCCCCTATCTTTGAGTTTCAGTGAGACGCCTTCAAGCCACCAAAATTCGAGAGACAGCCCAACCGGAGCGAAGGGTCGCGGGGGGAAACTCGGGAGTCGCTACACCAAGTTAGATGCACGACTGAGGACCACGACTAGGGCGGCTAGGGGCTGCCGGGCGACAGGTCGACACGGAACGATTGGCCCGAGAGCACAGCGCGTGTAGCGTGATTGCTTGGTGAAGTTGGTCTTGGGGGACTTGGGATGAACATGGAAGAATTAAAATGACCGCCGCTTTGGCCCTCGACTAACAGAAAGTGGCCGTGAATTCTGCCCATAACCCCATCCTTAGCGCGTCCCACCTTTCATCTTTTCTCCGGTACGTATCCTGGCATGTCTGCACCTGTAGTTTGCTCCAGTGCCCAATCACCACTGCCCATGACTTCCCACCTATTTCCCATGTTTTAGACTACCCGGAAACATTGCCATTCCGTCCAATCTTTACCAACTCCGTCGACCACAGCAGAAACATGCCCGCCTTTCGCTAATCATCGTCTCCATTGTATTGACTTATTCGCCTTTGACCCGGCCTCGTTCCTGTCAAGACGGCGCAAGCAGGACCGAAGGATGGAGCCAGACGGACGTGACGGACTCGACCACCTCGGACCAGCCCTCCAGCCGTGAGCGGGCCCAACAAGTCCAGACGGCTCCAGAGTCCAGAGGAAGCAGACTTGCCACCCACAAACCACTCGAAATCAGCAAACAAGACAACTCCCCCCCCCCCCCCCTTTGTCAGTGCTTTCCGGATGTCGCACAGTCCATGATGCGGCTGGCCGAGCAGCTGGCTGCTGCGTGCCTTTGACCTTACCCTTCTCGCTCTCGTCTACCGATATCTCAGGCACCACAATCTACTACCGACGTACCGTAGACCGATTTAGGCGCTGCTACATTCCAGAGCAGTCCTCGCGTGTTGAACCCTGAATCTCTGGTATCCAGACTGCCTTTGACCATGTCTCTGGCCCATGCCACATTAGAACTGACGGCAGCGGGAAGGCTCCAGACCTGCGGAATCCCAAGCAATCTCTCGTGTCGCAGACATGCCGCTTGATAAGTTATGGGCCACAGCGGGCGACACGGCCGAGAATGGCAGAGGTAAGGTATGAATGAACGAAGGCACGGTAGGATGATTGCGGGTTTCCAGGTTGTTCATGTCGTGTGCCACCCACATCCAAACTCCACGGTCGCAATCAACTGAGAACCCTGGCAACACACAAGTTGTAGCACAGCCGTGGACAAGTTTAGGTAACACCGCTATACCTCGCCTCTAGATATCGCGTGGTCAATCAAGATGAGGTGCAGCCCTCCCACACATTCACTCCAAAGTAGCTAAAGTAGTTTGTTACCTGGCCACATAAGTTACGGTCTGCTAACGAATCTTCCCATACCAATGGAAGTACTAGATGAGGCAAGTTGCCCTACCTACGTAACGTACCTCGAAATCAGAGCACCGGTATCCCAGAGAGGCGAAAGAAGATGCGAGCTTGGGCAAGCTTCGTCCAGTCCAGTCCAGTCCAGCCCGCTTTCTTTCTCCATCTTTCCTCCTTCCGTTCGTTCTGATCGACCTGTCTTGCGTTGAAACCGGGCTTCGTCAAGTGGGAAGAAAGGCGTAGAGTGCGCATCTGGCCTTGGCTCTTTCCGTTTTCAACCATTTCCTCACGTTTCTGGGTGGCTAACCGCCTCTGCATCGATTCCGTCCCAACGACTCGCGTCCCCATAGCTCCTTCGGCTGACGACCAGCAACAGCTAGCACCAGCCATCTTCACCTCATATAATAGTCTCCCGAGTCACCAGGCAGTCGGATCCTGCTTTTTTTTGTTCGCTCGTCCAGCTGTTTGTTTCCCGTATCAAACACCCTCGGAACTCCGCCTGTATTCCGCCCAGCGCATCTCGTCTCCTTGCCACATCTTGTAAGATCGGCAACCCGACTTCTCTCAGTGGCTGGTCCTTTGCATCGACCTTCTGCGCCTTATCATCCTTTCGGCGACTGTTTCCAGCCCTAGCCGCCTCGAGTACGAGAGACTCCGTGCGCGTCGACCGCTCGACCTATTTACACTGCATTCTTGACAGCTGAACATATTACGCCAAGTCTAAGGGGAATCTAGTCGTCCAGACTTGCTCAATTCGCTAAACATCACTCGACGATAGCGGTTGGTTTCTATTCGGTATGTGTCGAGCTAGGTGGTTTCTGGGCGATGGGCGACACTAACACGGCCGCTACTAGTGAAAGACGCCGTTCCCAGACAGCCACGTCTGATACATCAGCCCAATTCTTAAGCATTGTCGAAACACCTTTATCTCAGCTTCGGGCCTTCGAACATCGTCGCAGAAATGACTGAACCTGTCTCCCCGCCTTCTTCCCCTCCCGCGGATTCTGTCACCCCTAGCACGACCAACTCTCACCCACCCGTCACCCCCGAGAACAAACGTCTTTCGCAGGTCGGCGGTATGTCTTTTGCTGAGAGACGGATGAGCCGTCGTCCCTCCACCGCACCCACCCCTATCGTTGAGGGGGACGGCCTTACCAGAGACGTCATTCACTCTTTGCCCGGCGATACTCGCAACAACAACAATAGAAAGTCCAAGACGCAAGCCGATATGGCCAAACGTCGCAGCTCTTACTACGAGGAGGCCTTCCAGGGCGACAGGGAGTCCAATGTTATTAAGGACCGCGCCTATGCAGAGGCCATCGTAATGGCAGAGCTTCGCACCAATGTCATTGTATGTGCTTTCTTCGGGTCACGGGTAGAGAATCTCGACTAATTCATTTGTACAGATCAATGACGAGTTCAGCTTCATCACGGACTTTTCATACCAGCTGTCGGTTAGGTACCAACGGCCAGTAACTTCGATCGTGGTCAATCTACAGCATGGGGCTTGCATGCTCTTTGGAGGTACTTTTGAACCGGCTTACACCATGTCGATCCACGCATTACCGCTCGAGGTTGGTGTGACCAAGAATAAGAGGAACACGGCTCTGCTTCAGAAGCACCTCCACGAAGCTCTTGGTGTTGCGCCCGTTCGTGGATTCGTCAAGTTCGTCGAAGTCCCGGCGGAGAACATGGCTGTTAACAGCAAGACCACCGCTTCCCACATTGCTGAGATGACCGGCGAGGAGGAAGAAACCATTGCCGAGCGCCGTGGTCGCAACCGCAAGAGTATCAGTGGCAAGGTACGTACTAAGTGCACACTTAAGTCCATAATGTAGAAGAGATGCTAACAGCCTTGCAGTCCATGTCAGCTCTGCGCCATGGATCCATTGTCGGAGGCAGGAAGGGCTCTGTCTTTGACTTTAGAAGAGAATCTGTTGCTCCTCGCAAAGATTTAGTTATGCCTCCTCCCCATGAGATTACTCCTCCGCACAGCGCGACCGATGCTCCCCCGATTCCCCCCATCCCCGAGGCCCACGCCAATAAGACTACGGCCGCAGTTCCCGATGAGAAGTCGGATACGCCTATCAAGGAAGTTGAGAAGGCACCCACCAACACTTCGGCATCTCTCAAGAAGTCCAAGGTCGCAAAGCGCAAGAGTAGCTTCGTCACTTCACTGTTCTCTCGTTCTCCCAGGAACACGCCCGCGCCAATGCCCACCGTAGCATCGTAGACGGTGGCTCTACTTCCACCTCCCCACTGAAGTCTCTCTTTCTTTGTTTTGTGTTGTGCTCATTATCGGGCCTGGAGCAGTGGTCAAATTGGAAACTTGACGAGGTCAAGAAACAGAGCATTGCATCGATAAAATGGGAGACGGAGTTCTGCATTACAGCCCGATCGGGCATGCTGGAGTCATAGTCTTGGAATTCTATCATTTGTAATCGTATTTGTTCTGTCTAATAGTAGGAGTTATGGTCGAGAGACAGATTGATCTGCACTCGTCTCAACCAAACTCGTACGTGCCAAAACTAGGCATTCACTAATTATATCAAACTTATCATTAACCATTATTTGACCCATTATTTATACATTCTAACTAATATTCAAATGAGTGACCTTTGAATGGCACTTAAGATGTCAAAGTGTCTGAACTTCTTCAATGACAGACGTTTAAAAAATATTTGATGCGTATTCATGTTGTTGATGAAGTTTTATCGCAAAGCCATACAATTGACTTGGGCATGGATATATTATTACCGAACTCATCAACTCATCAATTTAGGCGTGGTGAATGCAAGCAAGTAGGTATGCCTTTTGTGATGAGATGAACGGAGGGGCAGTCCAGTCTGATTGAAGTAGGTACGCGATACCCTGGAACCTGGAAGGTGGGGTCTCGCTTAAATTGCCAGCGCTGCCAGCTCAAACGCGCTCAGCACGGGGTTTTCATCAACTCGGTGTTTACGTTATCTTATCGCTGCTCCTGCATCGTCATCTCTCCCCTACCACCTTACCACTTACGCAGTACGGATACCTTGGTAGTGTTCGATTGCCTTGCCCGCCCGCCCACCTTGCCCGCTCCACACGTCCGATCTGCAACCTGGAAACGGTCACGGCATACAGATACCTACGCACCCGTTGATAGGCCAGGAGGAGTACTTTCAACACCCCGTACCCAAACGGAACAGGCTTCTTTACTCAGGTTCTCTACAAACACTGTCGGAGGGTCGGAAGGGATTTTCAAAGCAAGAGAGCGGCACATACTTTCGCACCTGCCTGTGTCAGCGTCCATTCCCGGAAACGAAAGGGTCCTATCAGCGGCCGTCGCTGTGGAGTGAGGCGACCCAACGACTGAGGCTCGACGACGATTGACCTGCTCAACGGCGCAAAGCAGGCTCGTCTCGTGTACTAGACGACAGGACTTTAAGGAAACAGTTTGAGGAGTCTTGGTGGAAAATGGAAGTGAGTTCTTGCAGTTTCTTAAAGTCGTGGTCTTCATTCCCTACCCAAGCTACAGCGGCTCTTCTTGCCCTGCCTTTTCATACATCCTTCATACCCCTCCGGTGAGGCTTCGACACACGAGTCCCGAGTACACGACGAATCAACCATATGAATTTCCGGTACACGCCTACTGAGGGATCTTGGTTCGAATGCTCTATGGCAAACTCAGACTCGTTTGAGGAGACACATTCACTTCTTACACGGGATGGAAGTTCTGAGCGACTCAGACATCATCAGCATACGCAACGCGTTGGCCTTCTGCGTCACCTCAGTGATCATGCCAGGGAGGTCATCAGACAACAGGAGAGCCAGCATGGTTCGTCCGCGGGAATGGATAGTCAAGTTGCTGTCCCTCGTCAGATCAAGCGGGAAGGGCTGAGCCACGGTGTCATGGATGATGTGGTGTCTGTACGACAGTGAGATCAGCATCGAGTCAAAACTAGTTCAACCCTCATGGGCATCGACGTATGATTCTTCTCGAAAGGACTCTGCATGAACGCCAAAATTTTCTCAACTTTCCCCCCTGCTTTCCAGCCACGTTTTCTATTACGATGATGCGCCAGACCTCGAGCCGGCAGATCTATCCTGCGTGTGCCCGTCGATGGCGGTCGTATTCTTTCGACGTGTCTGAGAAAAACAAGCTTTTCAAATTAGGACATTTTGGAGAAGCCGCAAGCGAGTTGATGCGAGGGTTTGGTGGCAGCTCAGCCAGCGAAGCGGGAGCTTTCAGGGCTTCGCTGGCAAAAGTTTCGTTTGAGGGACTCGCCTCGACTTCCGTTACGGATCATTGTCAGGCTTGAGATCCGTTCGACCTCATCACAGAATCCGTACAAACATCGAGTGTTCCCTCGGTCTGTGGCATCTTCCCGAGACAGCAACAAACAAAGAAGGGCAAGCAGTCTACGGCCTTGCAACGAGCCCGGCGAGACTATAACTCGTTCACACTCAAGTACTCTTGACTTGTCTCTATAGACGACTTACGCATCCAAGAAAGCTGGTTGCATTTCAACACCATTTCCCACCCCCCAATTGCGAAATGGACAAATCGCCCCGTTCTATAGATTCTATGCTGTCCCAAGCGGTAGATGGCTTGCGTGTTTCTTCTTACGGGGACTCTTTGCGATCAAGCGGCCGTTTAAGTCCAGCTAGGCTAACACTCCAGCGTGTTTACGATCAGAGTCAAGGAGTGCAGGCGCAGGATGCGAGCAAGATGGTAGAGATGCCTCCGGGCCCCCCTGCAAAGGGCAAGCCCAGACTCCTTTTGATGGGCCAGAGAAGGTATGCCATCTCTCCATTCCGGTGCTCCATATGAATTACATACTAATTGCAATTGCAGGAGCGGCAAGTCATCAATATCGAGCGTCGTCTTTCATAAGCTCCCGCCAAATGAGACGCTTTTTCTGGAGTCGACAGCTCGTATTCAGAAGGACTCCATGGCGTAAGGCCTCAAACCAAGCCAATGTGACAAGCACCCTGTCTTACTGACTATCGTTATAAGATCCTTCATGGACTACCAGGTCTGGGATTTCCCTGGCCAGATTGACTTCTTTGAGAACCCAAACTTTGACATGGACGCCATCTTTGGCGAGATTGGCGCCCTCATCTGGGTTATTGACGCGCAGGACGACTATCTCGAAGCCGTAGCCCGCCTCAACGCCACGGTCCTAAACCTCCAGCGCTTCTACCCGAACATCAACATCGAGGTCTTTATCCACAAGGTCGATGGCCTCTCGGACGACTACAAGCTCGACATCCAGCGCGACATCACCATTCGCATCCAGGACGAGCTCTCGGACCATGGCTTCGAAAACGCCCCCGTCACGTTTCACCTGACGTCCATCTACAATCACTCCATCTTTGAGGCTTTTTCCAAGGTCATCCAGAAGCTCATCCCCCAGCTCGGCACCCTCGAGGCCATGCTCACCAACCTGTGCCGAACCTGCCGCTTCGAAAAGGCCTACCTTTTTGACGTGCTCTCCAAGATTTACATCGCCACCGACTCCGCCACGGCCGATATGGCTTCGTACGAGATCTGCTCCGACTATATTGACGTCATCATCGACATCACAGAGGTCTACGGCTCCTGGCCGCGGTCCGACGGCCAACGCAAGCGTCTCGAGGCCGAGCCCTGGAATGCCAAAGTCGAGGACCAGGTCGCGTGCAACTGGGCCGAGAGCTGTATGGTCTTGCACGACTCGCAGCGGCCTATCATGCTACGCGAGGTCGATCGATACTTGGCTCTCGTGGCGATTATGAAGGAGGACTCGTATGACCGCATGCCGCTCGTCAATATGAATGTAGAGGCTGTCGTGCAGGGCGTCACGGAGTTTTTTGAGATCACGAAGTCGAGGAAGTGAGACTGGTTTAGTTGGCATGTGTAGTCTGTAGGGATTGAGCCTATGTTAGCCACATGTGGCTGTGGTATATCCATGAGGCTGAGATATATATACACTATTCCTCCTCGACGCAACTTCCAAGCCTCTCGGCTAGAACCTCATGTGACTAACCGGCTCAAGTGAGAGCCTTTGAAGCTTAAACTCCTATGAAGGACAGATTAGTGGGCAAATTGTATAGAGAAGACAAGGTCTTACATTAAGTATCTCGCCAACCCGACAATGCACATCTAAGAAGATTGGGTCTGGCAGCTCGGCGACTCTGGGGTCCACAGAAGTGAATTCTACTACTTTGGGGTAGTTTTTGAACAGGCTGATGGCGGGATTCCATGCGCCAAACCAGCGAATGTTGTATTTCGTAGTCTAGAAGGGTTTACTCGCGATTCAACAGTTTTGGCAAAGACGATGACAACTTACCGAACCATATTGCTGCTCGAACCCGAAATCGAAATCCCCAAAATCGCCGTGGACCTCTGAATTCATTATGAGCGCGTTGCCAGTCTGATTGATGGTGTCAGGGCCGACCTTCCCTTTGAGATCCGGGAAGTATCTCCACAGCGCCTACCATGTCTTTGCATTCACGCGAGCCTTTGGATTTCGTTAGTAGTATCCCATCAACTGCTAGATGGCGCCAATGCCTATCCGGTCCTATCTCGCTCATATACGCCTGTGGATACTTCCGAGAAAGAGCGGATATTGTAGAAAGACTGGAGGCGGATCCACTGACGCCTCTGGCAGTTGAAGGGATAGCAAGGCGACTTGTCCGTTAAGAAGATCAAAAAGGGTCCTCACTTCCATTGGCTTCCGCTCGTCAAAGTTTCCAATCAAGAAGGGGATAATGTGAACGCACTCCAGGGTGCTTATACGGGCCTGAGGCATCATCTGGCCAGAGAAATTCTCTTCCAACCAGTCCTTGTTAAAATACTTCGTGACGACACATTGGCCGCCATCCCGGAGGACGCAGACCCGCCTCAACTTTGAATCGTCGACATAAGACTCGAGCTTCTCAAGAAGTGAATCTGGGCCGTCTGTCCCGGAACTCGAAGACACAATGTCGTCTTCACTTCTGCGCTTTGAATGAGTTTTGACTTGATGATTGTAGACGAGCGTTAGCTTTTGATTCATAAGCGGGATTAGAGTATATAACATACAAGGTATCAAGATAGCCTGAACCAGAAAGTCACGCACTTGCCTCAATTGGACCGGATTGTGTCTGTAACGCATGATCTCCGAGAGCAGAACTAATTGTCCCCTGAGTGGGAGTTTGTCCGCGAAGAGACGAAGCACTTGGGGAGTGTCATCCTTTACGCCGACGGGGTTATAATCCGCGAGCATCTCTGAGACTTCGCAATGTGACTCGGCCCAATGTTCAGGGTCTGATGATACTAATGTCAACTGATTGTTGATGACGGAGTTGGCGTCTCCATCTCCGTCTGGGTGGTCAACGACTTCGTCCATGTCGTGGTTGGGTCCGCATTCGAACATGGATACTGCCTTGAAGAAGAGAAGATTATCTGCCGTCGTGATCATTTGGTTTTGGCAAGTCTGTACGGTGTGCGCCGCCTGTGAACCGAGACTGACAGATGTCTCCGAAGAAGATTTATGTCATCGAATCCTGGGGTATGGTGGGCATGGACTTCATGGGGAAAATCACTCCTACGGCAGTGGGACGGATCCAAATACAGGTCTCAATACATATGAGAAACGACTCATCAAATAAAAAGTTTCGTAGCCTTGATTTTTGGATGTTTTTCTCCGTAAACTTGGTCCAGCACACAGCCAACTTATGTGCTTTTCTAGAGTACCTAAAAACACCTTCCGGTTCAGTAGAAGAGCAAGGTTCATTATAACCATTTCCCATGACCTTGACAGATCGTGGCTGAACTTGCCGCCGTTGTAAAACTTTATAGTAGCTAGACCGAGAAGCCCGTTCCACGCTGTCATGGCACCTTGTTATCGAGGACATCCAGGCGACGTTCGTGTAGAGTCACAAGTACGAAAATGTAGGTTGAATAAAACAGTGTAGTGCCCACCCAGCAGTTCCGCGCCTGCCAAAGTTGATGTAGACAAAGGAGGGCTGGTGCAATCCTTTCCCCAGTAAAATACTCTCATTCACTCATTCACCTACTCCAAGTCATGAAGCTAAGGTAATTCTCTCCCCGTACCACTCTAATAAGCCTACTCTCGATGGAATAGCTCATCTAGCCTGACAGCCTCTAGCCTCCGCATATCCAGCACAGCCATGCGTTTCTTGCTGCGCGGCGTGAACCGCTTCGGCGGCACCCTGAACATGTTACCCGGCGACAGGGGCACGGGCAACTTCTAGTCGTCGCGTGCCGCTGCCGCTGCCGTTGCCGTAGCCGGCTTTCGCGGAGCGTCCTTGTCGTCATGGCCGGACGCGAGGCTGAAGACCTTGTAAACCGAGCGGTTGGCGCCGAGGAGGCACACGCGTGCCGGGACTTCGCCGCGGGCGTTCGTGACATTTTGTACGTCCATCCGTATCGGCGTGAAGGACTGGTCTTCGGGGAGTGTGGTCGTGACGAGCCCTGTCTGCATTTGTTTGGATAGGGGTGTAGAGACTGGTAAGTTGTTCTCTTGGTAGGGAACATAGTTGATGCCGGGAGACTGTATGGGTACCATGATGACATCGGCGGGATTTCCTAGGGAGACGTTTAGTAGAAGCCTTACTGATGAGCTAAAGGTATGCAGGTCTTAGCGTGCCTTGTCTGTTCACGAGTAGGACTAACGTAGTGCTGTCCATGAACTTGACCTCCACGATCTTGGCATTGTCTACAGATAGAGCAGCAACCGTCGTGGCAACGCTGCTGCTGATGCCGTTGATGATGCGGATAGATGTTCGGAATATGAAGACTATCAAGCCGTTAGCGTGAGACTCGGCTTGCTCTCGCGAGAAAGTACTGACACTCTTGGTCCCGGCCCTCTTCGGTCAGGGCGGTAAAGGTGAGGCCATCAACTTCGTCCTGCAAGAATGTCAATTATATGTGTTGACAATTGAGAAATTTCAACACCTACGTCTCGTCGTTCTGAGCACATAGTGGAGTCAATTTTCGCAATTTTCTGGCCCAATCCGATCTTTGTCGGCTGACCAAATCGAACGCTCCTTTTTTGTGCTTCGGCAATATCCTTGAAGACTCCATTTACGCGGGCAGTAAGGTAGTCGACGAGGAAGCCAACGTTCGGGAAGGCCTTCAAATATGCTTGCCCCTCTTCCTGGCGTTTAAGCTGGGTATCTAGCTCTTCGAGCATTGACGTTCCGCTTTCAGCTCGTTCCCAGTTCGCCGAGTAATCGTCTGTGGCTACTTCGTCCAAAAATATGGCCATGGGGCTCTCAACAAGGTAGCGCTGCACGTAGACAAGGACCTTGCTGTTCTCCATTGTAGCCTCCTTCTCTGTCAGTTCTTCGCTCGCCGAGTTTGGGGCCGCAAAACGGTCAATCTGGAACCGCATCCATGTAGAGAAGGCATGGAAGAGGTCCAGTTCGTCCATGACGTTCAGGAGAATCTTGTGTCCAACCATCGTAAGGCAAGACACGATATCCATTGTACGGGTGATCTGGGCCACAGAGAAGCCAATGTCGTCGCGTGAGTCGTAAAACTGAGCAAGTCCACGCAGGCGGCTGAGTATGATGGCACATCTTTCTAACGACGGGAGTAAATTTTCATGGATCAAACCACGCAGATTCTCCAGTCCTGCCGTCACAGCCTTATCCCATCGCTTGTGGCCCTTGAGAAGCTGTCAGCAATGAATCACATAGCGAGAAAAGCGTCTACTTACGCGCTCAGCTAAACTGTCGACCAACCATTCTCGGAGGGGCTCATGCGCATGGCCAGTGACAACCGTATGGAAAAGAGCTTGAACAAGGTTCGTCGGCCCATGTGCTATCTGTTCCAAGTCTCCTTCAACACTGCGCAAGAACTTGGACGGCAGTTCTCTTGTGTTCTTATACTCTACTTGCATGTGGAGCTGTGTCTGCTTCACATAACGCAGCAGCTTCTGTAACGTAGTGAGTTTTGACGCTAGGAGAGAGATGTTGATGGGTGATGAGGGTATAAAGGGCAGATCCATGGGAACCAAGTATACTGTCTGGTCGTTGTCGGCTGAGGATTTCAGGAGGAGAGTGTGAGTGGAAACTTCTGGATGAGAGGCATGTTGGATGAGCTGGAGAACGCCTGGTCTGTACATGGAGCTTGGTAGCGTGTATCGGAAGTCGCCGATGACGAAGGAATCATAAATGCTGAGATGGAGGCGCCCATCGCTCGTGCCTACTACCATGACGAAGACTTGGCCGCTATCGTCTGTGTTGAAGGGCTGAAACAGGAAGTCTATGCCAGTTCTTAAGGTGAACACCAGGCCATCTTCGCTAAAGCCACAGTCAGTAACAACATCTGAACCATGGCAGACTTCACTCACCCTGCACCGGCACTGGAACTAGGTAGAGGACTGATATTTGGTAAGGCAGAGTCTACCTCCAAGAAGGTGAGTTCTCGGGGTAGATCCAATGGGGCCGGGCTGCCGGGCAAATTCAGCTCCTCTGACATGAGTTTTTGCCATGGCTGCGCAGGCGACTGGTGGGATTTCTTCTGCGACCTGCCCACAATGTTGCGCGACCAACCGATGTGAGTGATGTTTGGCGTCGCTGTGTCATCTCCACAGACGCGAATGTGATGTGCAGCCTTGTTGTTCTCCAGACCCATCAACCTCACGTATCCGTCGCTCCAGCCAACAGCAAGGAACTGGCCTGTGATCGAATTAAAAAAAAAACGTCTTATAGATATATCGAGGGCATCTTCGTACCGTCTGGTTTCCATCTTACAGCTTGGGGCTCGGGAGCCTGTTGACCGGGCTTCGCGAACTGATGGATTTTGGACACAACGTGTTCCCTGGGGCGGTAGATCAGAAGATTTTTCCCGTGTGCGTCCCAACTGACCGAGAGGTCAACTGTTGGGTTGCTGCATGGAAAGCCTTCGGCGACACGATGGTCGTACTTGGTATCGCTGTAGTGCCGTAGCTGCATGGTTTCATCCATTTCGAATATACGAAGCTATCCGGATTGACAGGGGAGTGGTGACTCCTCGAAGGACCATTGCTAGTCCCGTAGGACGATTTGTTGACAGAAATTACCAAATGTTTGGTTATTGACTTTCAGAAAATCAAGCTGTGCAGCCTCAGTTCAATCAGGTATTGGCGAATCTGCTTCGCGCAAATACCTAGCTGTTGTTGTTTGGAAGGTTCACTCACGACTTTTACAAATGTAGAAGTGAGTTGAGGTACATCAGGCAGGTACTCCGTACCTCTCAATCGAATGTCCGTTCTGTGGGAACTGCACCCAAGGTTGTACCTGCCACTGACAAGGATGAATTAGCGCCCCGCGCAAAACTGTCACCGCAAGACGTGGTGGATCAGCACCTTGATCGAAATGGAGCACTTTCTTTTCAGTGCAGCAGTAAATTCCAGGGCAAAGATGATGTTAGTCGACAAGGTAAATAACTTCTTTTACTCGGAGCTTTCGCATCCCCTAGACTCTCTAAGATACGTTTCATTTCATGCAGCCAAATATCATGGCCGTTTCCCAGCACCGCAAGTCAATCCGCTGTTTGGAAAACTCATCAGTTGGCGCCGAGCTTTTGCTACCCCTGACTATCCCGCTCCAATCTCAATCTAAAAGTAGCTGCATTCTATTCGATTAAGAAGTTGTCTGCGTGAGACTTAATCTCCTTCGAGAAGGTAACCTCCTCGTCCTCTTCAATCAAAGAGACAGTGGTAACCTAGTATGTGCATTAGCTTTCTGGTACATCAAACTGCCAGAGTCGTGACTTACATCAACATCGATGAAGGGCGAGGTCTTTGAGAACCTGACTGTCATTGGGAAGAAGTCGTTCTCGTCATTGGTCTCGGCCTCGAACTCGAAAGAACCGCTAGGGTTCTCGTCCGAAACCGTGCCAATGTTCCACTCCAGCGAGTCGCCAGAAACCTCATACGAGGCATCGAAGCTCGATACCACAGGTTCACTGGCCTGGTAAGGGATGATCACGCTAACGTCCTTCAACGTGTCGCCGCCCGTCAGCTCGTACTCGACGGTCATGTTGTACTTGTCTGCATCCTTGTTGATCCAAACAGTGAATGTAATGGGGCAAGCGCTGGTATCGTCTGCCTTGGCCGTTGCTCTCCAACGCAGGACGCCGACGGACTGGTTGGTAGGGAAGCCACGCGCGGTATTGCTCATCTGGATGGTCTTGGAGCTGTTGAAGAGGTTCTTGTCGACATTGGGGTGCGTGCGGAACTGAGCACCGTGGGAGGCATTGGCAGTCAGGTTCAGCTTGACCTTGGTCAAGCTCGGGTCCGAGATACGAAGGTTCAGGTCACCGCTTATCGCAAGAGAGTTCAAGGCGCCCTCTCTCGACAGCTTAGCACTAATAGCTTCGTTGACCACGATGTGAATGGCGTCCCGGTCAAGAGTAGAGGAAACACGAGACTCTGCTGCAGGCTCGGGAACGTGAGCAGGGGTTGGCGTAATAAGCGGAGTATCATCAACTTCTGCCCCCATTTCGCCTCGAACGCGCTCGAACATGTCGGTGGTCTTCGACTTCTTGCCGAGTTGCATACCCTTGCCCTTCGGGGCACTCAGCCTGTAAATGTTAGCCAGCAGCCCCCGCCACGCATATCCAAGGGTCACTTACTTGTTGAAGGTCTTGTTCTTCTCAGCTTCGTACGAGTCGTACGTATCCGTCGGGGTCGGGCGCGTAGGGGGGGTGTAAGTCGGGTAGTTGGGTGTTCTGGGCATTCCACCACCGACACGGCCAGCTCGAGCCGACTCTTTCCGCTGCATCTCCAGCTGCTTGGCCTTCCGCTTCCGCTCCTCTGTCGCCTCCAGCTCCTTGTTCTATTCTCACAATCAGTATCATGTCTCTCAACATGCTGGGTATCGGCTGGACGGACTCGTGCGATGATCTCCTGGATCCGCTCCTCGTGACTCTCCATCTCGAGGAAGGTCTTGATCTGGCTGATGGTCAAGTTCTCGCGGTATCCAAGCGTTACCAGCTCATCGAAGGCGCTGAGAAGTTCGTATGCATTCTTCAGAATCTCTCTCTCGTCGAGGCTCTTGCATGTGCTGGTCACAACCTGAGCGAACAGGTGCAAGGAATCGATGTCTTGGAGGATGTTGGATCGGCGGTTGGTAATGAGTACCATGTAAAGCTCGTCCAGGGGCTGATAGACGAAGCGCACATTATCTTGTTCGACGGTCGTGTGTTGGGTACCGCTGTCGGCGAGCTTCGGGAAGGACGCGAGGAGGGCTTCGATGCGGGATCGTGGCATCTCCCTGAACTGGCGGGAGAGGACAGCTTTCCCGCCTCGGGTGCAAATCGAAGCTGCGAGGACGACCTGAAGGAGTAAGCATGTCGAAACGGAAAGTGCAGCAGCCGAAAGGTTCCTCTTACCATTTTGACAGAGTATGGTGATAGGTATAGGACGAATTGGAGATGTAGGTGGACTGTCGCAACTCGACTTCAAGGTCCACGCCAAAGGAGGGACCACACTGGGAGCTTGAATATTGAGGTCGGAATTGTGAATCTGGCCAGTGCACGGACCATGTTGCCTTACGTACAGCAGCTGGAGCTAGTCCAAAAGTAGTAAAGCGGCAGCTGCCTCCAGAAGGCGCGTCAACCTGCGCTTACGGCACGTAGAGGGGTGGATGGGCTGCACCTGGGCCCTTTTTTTAAATTCCCACGCGCTTTGGTCAACTCCACCTCAACCGCACTGCTTGGCCTCACTTCGACATATCCATACTCTTTGTTTTACCAAAGCTCCCTTTCCTCCCTCAGTCCATACCTACGAGGACAACCTTGAAAGTATAGCATACCGGAGACTCTGATCTCTAGGCATACGAATCAAATATCGACGTGACATTCAACTGACACCTGACTATTGAGCTTTCGTCAGCGTCATCGAGCGGACATCCGAATTCTCACAGCCCGAACCTGCCAGACAAAAAGACAAGCGTCCCGACAGAGGCAACGAAATTTTTACCGCGAGAACAAACATCGCTCTACAACTTCCCGGTTGTAGCAGGGATGACTACCGAAGCAGCCCCAGCCCTGGGCCTTGAGGGCCAACTCCACGAGGAGTATATCGACTACTCGGAGGACGATTCGGCAGCTCCTGCTGTCCCCGTAGAAGGCTCCAACATCACCTCATTTCCTGCCAACGCCCATCTCGTCACCGGTGAAGTGGAGTACACTGGAACGAGCGCATTAGAGCCGGACAACCAGACCATCGACCAACGAATCGATGCGGAGATCGATGCTATTTCTGTTGCCGCCGATGCCTCACTACAGCCAGGCGACCTAGACCCCACTGATGGGCCTCAAGTCGATGGGGTTGATTCCATTAGCGCGATAGAAGCTGAAGACTCTTACATGCACGAAGATGAACCTCTTGCCTACGCCGATGTTGCCGAGCCTGATGATGGGTTGGCCGCCGAGCCTGAGATTAGTTGGGAAGACGGTCCGGCAAACGAGGAAGACGCAGCCCAGAACGAGGAAAATGAGCACGAAGACAACGAGGTCGAGGACGTCCAGGATGAAAACAGCCAGGATGAGAGCCATATCACTTTTGAGAAAGATGAATGGCAACTAGTGGAAGAGAAGGAAGGCCTCCCACAAGGCGGCTTGAGCCCTGCGAACAGTGCTGGGGAACAAGAAACGGAAGCTCACGAAGTCGATCAAGAGCTTGCGGACTCTTCAAACGATGCAAACAACTTGGATGCAAATCTTGACGTATTTGACGTGGCCGATGTTGATGCTGGTCTAGATGAACAGCAAGTTGCCGAAGCCGACAACACGGAAGTCAACGACTTGCACGAGATAGACTTCAACAATGGCGGCAACATAGCAACAGTGAATGCTGTAGTGGGTATCAGTGATACGCGTTCAGAGCATATTCCAGACTACCAAAAGACCGACAGCGATTTCCCAACGGAACAGGATGCTGAAGATCATCCCATGGGTGTAGATACGGGATCGCAGCCCGAGGATGAGCTTGAGAGCATCATGGGCGTTGCCACCGCTGACCAGACCAATGATGAGGAGACTCATGATGATGTCGTCAACGCCGAAGACCATGACGCAGTTGCTGAAGACTCGTCTGTTCCCGAGCACGTGGAATTTGATGACGAAGTTCTTGCCGACGCGCGATCGTCTGTATCGGTTGAGACGCCGACTCACGAAGAGATGGAAATCCCCGTTATCACTGTCTCGTACAAGGGCATCGACTATCCTTTCTTCTATGGGTCCCCAGACAGCCAAGGCAAGGAGTGTTTCTTCAATGATCTGACTCTATTACACTGCAAAATGGAGGGTGTATTGGCAGGCTTCCGTCGAGAGCTTGCCAATGAGTTGGGCCCTTTTGACGAACTCGTGTTCCAAATCGACGAGCTTGGCCTTGAGTTCACTGAAGTAAGTCCTCATCCGCCTGAAACACAAGCTCTGCTAACATGCCCAAAGTCCAGCCAAGCAGAAGTCTTCTCGGACATCACGTTGGGCCAGATAATTTCCGTATTTGACTCACTGGTCAAAAACCAGAATGCCGATGCATCCAAGCCCCTCTACGCATACTTGACAACGCGGCCGAACTGCAAGAAGCGCTGGCTTTCGCTCGTTGATGATGCCTACAATGGCAAAGGACTCGATGAAATTAGCTACTATTTCGCATCTCGCGCACAGAGCGAGGTGCCCGAGATCATGGATGATGAGCCTGACCTGATAGGAGAAGAAGATAACGCCGATGCTGCCTCTTGGCCGCAGTCTCCCGCCGAGAGCGGACATGGTGAGCACAATTTGGACGAGGCCGAAGGCGAAAATGAGGAGATCAACGATGATGACGATGTTGGCGATGGCATCACCGGAGAAGACGATACTCAGTCGCAAAACGCCTTCGAGGAGAATCCCTTGCAGCAAGATGAGAGCGCTATTTCGATGCCGGATGCTGAGGCTACCATGGTTGATACCGAAGCTTCTCTGATGGACGAAACCACCGCAGTTGTAGACCTGAGCGTTGTTGAAGACGGCGGGGACGTGGAAGATGCATTGGAGGATCAGCAACCCCAAGAGAATGGGGAGGCAGGTAATGACGGCCTTTCTCAAGTCACTCTATGCTTCTTCCCTAATTTTTGTCTTTGCGCCACTTGTACTTCGACCTTTGTCGCAGACCAGATGGCGGAGGAAGACGATTTTCGGTTCGAGACCTTGGTGCGAGTGGCCAAGGAGTCTGCTCGACAGCGAGGGCGCTCTCCCTCTAGCAATTCGCATTTGGCGTTTCCCGAGAGACTCCTCTCGCGAAGAACGTTCCGCCATTTGCATTCTTATTCGGATTCCAGCATTACATTTTCTTCGACTGCAGACGCTGACACTAGAACCCAAGCTCCAGAGATCGATGAATCCGACCCACTCGCCTCGGAAACGCAAGACGCAGCTGTTCTCGGCACTGCTATTGACGCACGGAACACGTTTGACGACGAAGACGCAGCAGTCATCGCAGATCAAATCATCGAAAACGCCAATGAGAGTTTCGCAGAAAAGGTAACCCCTGATACCAGTGCCACGTCTACCTTGAACGGCGACGAAGAGGTCACCTACGAGAACGAGCTTGATCTTAACGCCGACCTACCTGAAACTGAGGTTGTTGAAGCCGAGGTTGCCGACGAAGATGATAGGCTAGCGGAGATTGACTGGAGAGAATTCTCCGGGCAAGGGGATGACGAGATTGCCGTAGAGTCCCCTTCAACCTCTGGCAAACGCCAGAGGTCGGATGTGGACGACCTGCTGGATGCTGAAGCTCAACAAGGTACGCTCAAGAGGCTCAAAAGAGTCTGAACATAATGAGCTAACTTTGTGCCAGACGTCAAGCGTCGTCGCCCATGAGCTTTGGGTAACATCCCAACTAACCCCCCTTTGGTGTGTCACTCAACGCGACCGGATCTAGGTCCACGGGGCTTCCCCTTCCCGCCGTAGACCAGTCCGGCGACTAGGCCACAAAACAGCTCGATTTCATGATCACCGACAGTTCGAAAACATGGATGATACACCCGGCAAGTAGGGCATCGCAATCGGAGCGACCATATAGCCCTCGAGGTAGGTTTCCAAAATTGTTATTCCCACTGACTTACAGCTTTCCCAATTTCCAACCATCCCCAGGCGGTGACCTGCAATTCTATGAACGACATACCCTTAATGCCGTCCTTCCCCGGAGCTTTTCGATACCCCCTCTGTTCTCTTGCGATGTTGGTGGATTCTGGCGTAAAATGGGGCTCAAAAGTAATGCGATCATCTTCGTGGTTATGGTCGATCTTTCTTGTACAATACGACGTCTCAAGGATTTGAGGGGCGGCCATAGATTTGGTCACCAAGAACGGCCCGCTCAGCAAGGTGAAGTGTACGTCTGCCTTTTTGAGAAAGAGTTGGACGACATCAACATCTGCATCTACTTGATGATCAGTCACTCTGGGACTCTGGTTCGAAAGAAGATACTTCAGGGCATCCAGCTGAGGCGTTGATTTTCTCGAAAGGAGCAACCGGAATAGTTATACCTAAGTTATCTGACGAAGAACACGCATATTTTACTTGACTTGATGACGGGCTTTGCGTGTCATACTTTAAACAAACGGCTACATTCGTACATATACCTCATTTTCTTCAAATGTCATACAGTTGTAGTTTGGCCGTTGATCCAAGTCAATGCCGAAATGGCTCTTTTTGCGCAAGCGCTTCTTGTTCGTCTGATAGTGCGCCTCCATGATTTCTCGAAACTTTTTGAGACTTCCTAGTAGACGTTCAAGAGCCATGACAGCATGAAGATTGGCACGGGGATATAAGCAGTCAGCCCCCCCACACCCGTTGCAAGGGAAGAGCTCCAGCGTTTTTTGCAGGTAATTAAGAGCTAGCAGTCACTGGGGAGGGAAAAGCATATCACGGTTTGGGGTGATTTAGCTGGTAAGATTAAGGTCTGTCAGTGATGGAAGGTTTTCTGGCAACTTTGTGTGTGGTAGTACGGCCACACACACATAGCCACACACGGTAATATCTGTCAGTCCTTGGACTACGGATACCGATATTAAAAACGTCGAAGAAGTGTCGATCAGGTACGGAGAGTGATAGAGTTTCCATTGAGTAGTTTGCTGCCTTTGGGACACTTGGACGGCATACCCCCCTGAACCGTAGAAGACGTGGGAATCCCTGCTTTTGGATTTTGTGCGACAAGCGCTCGTTCTTCTTTGTCTGGCTTGCTTCTCCAATTCTTGAGAGGACAGATAATGGTAGACTTACGGGTAGGTCCCCTCCGTAACCCGAACTTTTTTTGTGGTGTGCTTCGTTTCGACGACCGTTCGCGCTCAATGCGCTCCGCTGCCCTTTGTGCCTCTGCCGTGGATGCCGCATTGCTTGAGCGCCCCCCTCCCTCTACTCCACCCGTCTTCCGTTCATTGAAATGTATCGGTGACGGCAGCGGAGGAAACGAGCTGTCAGTGACGGACGGGTATTT